AACCCCAGTATATTTACAGTCCAGAATGGATGAGACAAAGAGATAACCATCATAGATAAAATTCAAAAAGGTGTAAGTAAAGAACTATGAATTTCAGAGGTATAGGAGAGTGAAGAGAAGAGGCTCCAAGAAGGAGGTAGCATTCATATAGGGCTTTAAAACACAAATGTTCTCTTCATGAACATTTTGTCTGCCTGCTGGTGGACTGCGGGCCTTTCAACACAGACAATATCATCACCTCTTTAAAGCCTAGTGTAAACCATGGAATATGCTAAGTAGAATAAATAAAGAAGAGTAACACTAATGAGAATTCATGGAAAGGTTATTAAAAGTTTATATACTTCCCATGGTTTCAACTTCAATCAACTATTACTGTATGATATTAGCATAATTCTCAAATAAATTTTGCTGAGATAGATTTGGACAGATGAGCATGTGTAGACCTGAGGGAGAGTTTTCTTGAGCATGAACTTTGCCTGGTAAGGAGATAAGGAATCAGGAGGTGTGCTTAGAGAACTGCAGCCCAATTCCTAGACCAGAACAGAAGACAAATATGATAATAGAATATGAACTGAAAGGTAGTTAGGTAGGACTATATCTGCCAGTGCTTTGAATGGTTATTCATGAGAGTTTCTTGCAAGGAAGGTGGCTATATGATATACCTGGCAACTGTGTACAGGCTGGTTGGTCAGGGGGCCTGTAAGTTGGTGGAGCTGGGTGAAATAGAAAGCAGATCAATTAGGAGGTGAGTGACAATAGCACTGAGATGGGTGGAGTTGGTCGGGGCAGAGGAAAGGAGGATTTTAGAATCATGACCCAGGATACGGAAGCTGATTAGAGGAAGAGGAACAAGGGAGAGAGAACAGAGTACAGAAGTACACTAGAAGATCAAATAGTACTAGTACACTAGTACTAATCAAATGCTATTACTGTTCTTCAGAGAAACAGAATCAATAGGCCGTACCTGTATACGGATACGTAGAAAGAGATTTACTATGAGGAATTTGTTCATGCAATTATGGAAGCTGAGGAGTCTCACAATGTACTGTCTTCAAGAGGGAGATCCAGGAAAACTGATGGCATAGTTTTAATCTAAGCCCAAAGGACCAGTAATCAGGGGGACTGCTGGTGTAAGTCCTGGCCCAAGTCTGAAGTCTCAAGAACCAGTAGTACTGATGTCACAGGGAAGGAGAAGATGGATATCCTAGCTCAATGAGAGAGGAAGAATTTGCCCTTCTTCTGCCTTTTTATTCTATCTGGGCCCTCAACAGACTGGATAGCATCCACTTATGCTGGTGAGAATCATTGTCATTACTCAGTCTACAGATACAAATACTAATCTCTTCCAGAAACACCCTCATGGACACAGTCAGAAATAATATTTTACCAGATGTCTGGAGACCCCTTAGCCCAGTCAAGTTGACACATAAAATTAACAAACACCAACCATGGGTCTGAAGTTTTTGAGCCTGAGACAATAAAACAGTGGGTCTCCATTAGAGAGAGCTGGAGAAGAGGACTGAATTTGAGAGAGATGTCAGCGAGTTAACCTGATAAACATGATTGTTAGTGCTGTCGGAGTGGTTAAGACTGCCACGGAAGATGATTGAACCTTGGGGATCACTGAGAGAAATGACAGAGCTAATCTAGGGCTCTCCAAAGTCTCTGATATGAGATTCAGTCCTGGTTTTCCAGGTCTTGAGGATAGAGATGCTCTCTGGTTATGAGCAGCTGAAGTGACACAGAAGCCAAAGAAAATCAGAATTGCAATGAGGGGTGGCCAACAGCAACCATGTAAAGATGGTGAGAATCAGACAAATTTGCTGTTTCTAGCAATGGGGAGATCACTGGTGACTATAACAAGAATAGGGTCTGAGAAAGAAGCCATATTTCAGTGTTGCTTTCATGTCTTTCTCAAATCAATAGCATGAGAGCAAACTTAATGCAAAAGTTCAACTGAACACATGCTTGGTAAGCATGACATTTTGCTTTATCCTCTGTGTACTGCTAAAAATGTTTTATCACCTATTTTTTCCCTTGATTTGCAGAGGAGTCTACATAAACAGGTTTTTCATTCCTTCTCTGAGCATTCCCCAAATAAAACTTCCCCAAGAAGTCTAGCGCAATTACGTTACATTGCCCTGGATTATTTGACATTCTTCTCCTCTATTCCAGACTGGGTAGAGTTAAAAACATAGCATGAGTGAACTCTGTTTTTTTCTGACTTGGTTTGGTCCCTGAAGACCCTCAAACTCAACACTCCCTTGGGGTCTAAGATATAGTATAGTGTAGGAGAAATAATGGCAGTTCAGGAGAGGGTTTGTCTGTGTCTATCTTTGCTCAGCCTAGGTACTATCATGGCCCATTCTCCAGAGCTCTTCTGCTTGTTCCTCATTGGAAACCCTGTTGAACAGAGCCAAGCCTGTTGGCTTAGTCCCTGGGTCACCATCACATTCTTTTTCCCTCAAAGGTAGGGAGGCCAGAGGATTGACAACTTGGCCATAGTCACCTTTATGGAGCGGCCTGTAGATGCCCTGTCTCATGATCTTATGGGCAACTCTCATGGGCTGGCCCCATGGGCTGGGGTGGATACAGACAGTTTTTCTGCATTTCTAATCCCTCTCTGGGAGTCTTAATTAGCATAAAGTCAAGTCTTCTTGCCCCTTGTGCAACCAGTGATACTACTCCGGGCTTCTAGCTGACAATTAAAATACCTTTAATCTTCAAGTGGCCCAATATGTCACTTTACATTTCTAAAAGAATTCATTTTACATTTTTCATGGTGAGAATTTCAGACACCAGGACCTGGCCTTGAGGGAAGATGGTTTGGAAAAGAAGGAGGGAGGCTTCCTAATGCCTTCAAAGTCCTGCCACAGGGAGGGTGGCCTAAGCAGAAGACCCATCCTGTCTGCACTCCATGGTTAAGTACCACTGGAGAGTTTGCATGTGACTCTTTCCACAGAAATAGCCATGGCTTCCATAATAAATAGTATCCTTAAGCCTCAACTGCAATTTCCTCACATCTTAAGACCAGAAGCCTCAACCACAGCGTCTGCCACAATTACATGGGCAGGTATAAAATCTTTCTGTTTGTTAGGATTTAATTTGCTCATCATGTTTATTGAAGGGTTGTTGACCAGAGATGATAGTATTACTTATATAAAGGTAAGAATGTACATTGCACAATAAGTAGAATAAATAAAAAAATAATTGCCTTTCAGACTTCCTGGAAAGCTAACTGAAACTTGGCTCTTTTTTAAGAGACCCAAGTCCTTTCAACCATTGTTAGTATTGGCCATGTATCTGTGCAGAAGTCATGGTTACTTCTACTTAAGATGTAAAAAGCGTAAATAATAGTGTTTTCTAAACTCTGCCCACCATCTTCAAAGATGTTAGGTTATTAAGTATGAAATGCTCGATTTTCTTAAGTATTGTTTGACAGTTGATATCTCTAACATTTCACTTTGATACTTTTTTTTTATTGTGAAGAAATATCCTCATTCTTTCAAATAGATGTTTTGGCTTGTGATTACCTTTCAAAATTTTTTAAGAGCAAATCTTGTGAAACCACTGATCAGTCAAAAATATGTGTTATTTTCAAATGTACGTGCCATCCTGGAGCAAATGTAGCACAGACAGCTTGAAATATCAATAGATTGTTTGGGAAGGATGTGGCTAATGAATGCACTGTACCTTGATGATCTGAGAAATTATGTTCTGATGACTTTAATCTTGAAGATGAGCCACATGGGCAACCTGAGACCAGAAAGCTGTAGTGGAATTGAATCCATCTCAACCTATGTATGAATCAGCAGCAAGGTTTGACATTACTATTCCAACAATATTGGACCACTTGAAACAAATTGGCAAGGTAAAGAAGTGGGATAGAATTCTGCATGACTTGAAGGAGAATCAGAAAAGAAATCATCTGAAAGCTTTCCTTTCTTTGCTGTCACTACATAAAGGTGAATCATTTCTACACCATATTATTTTGTGTGATGAAAAATGGATTCTTTTTGACAATTGAAGCCTTTGGCACAATGGTTGGATAAAGATGAAGTGCTGAAACATAGTCCAAAACCAAATATTTACCAAAGAAAAAGCAACTGGTGTTTGTTTGGGGGTCCAGTGCTGGGGTTATCCACTACAGCTTCATGAAACGTGATCAATTGATTACAGTAGATGTCTACTACAGCCACTTGGATGACAATGATGAGGATTCTTGTGATGAGGAAGATGAGTTTGGTCCACAGAGACAGGCCAATTCTCTTGCAAGACAATCCTTGACTACATGTTAAACAAACAATGGTGCCCAAACTACAGAGGCTGGACTTGGAAATTCCCTGTCATCCACCATATTCACCAGACCTTGAACCAACTTGAATATCACTTCTTGCAGGCTTTGGACTACTTATTTCAAGGAAAAATATTCAACTGTCAACAAGCTGTGGAAAATGCCTATTGCCATTTCACCACGGCTTGCTCTCCAGGTGTCTTCGCTGCTGGCATAGACAAGCTATCATTAAGAAGGCGAAACTGTGTTGATAGGTTAGGCGCAAACTTTAATTAATTGTACTGCTTCTTGTTTGAGATATAATGAACTTTTGATTTGAAATTGGACATTTTGTACTTAATGACTTACCTCTGGATTATTTCACTCTGACTGAGGTAGAGGCTATAGTAATGGTGGCATGGATCCCCACAGACATGTAATCTACAACATTCTCTTTCTTTTCTGTTCTTTAAAAAGTATCACTATCTAGATTTTTCTTTATTTTATAGCTTGGGGCATAGAAAGAGAGGAGAAGGGTAGGAGGCAATTCAGGAAAAGCTAATGTATTTAGCTATTTGCTTCATGCTATTTGATCTCAGCCAATAGGATTTTAACAGGTTTGGTAGTGATTTTAAACCAACCCACCCATTTCATATCTCACTGATGATGGGATCATTTTAAAGGTAGAGATGCAAGCGGGAGGGGCAGAGAATTGTGGATTGTGAATATGGGGGAAGAGGTAGGTGCCTTAAATGCATTTGCACCGGAAGACAACACATTTGCTCCAGAGTGGCTGTTCTCTATAAAAGCATATTGGAAGCTCCACCTTGAAAATGACTTTCAGAACCACCCATGAAAAGGCACATTATTATTTCTGTAAAATAATGGGTTGTTTCTGACCCACTAAAGATGCTATTCACCTTGCTTGTGTACTCTCCTCTGTAGGTGTGGTTTCAGATGACATCTGTCTGGTTCAAGAAATAAACACATCCTTAGAAGGTGAAGATTCAGTGGTGATAACCAAAAAAACATGCCTCAGCATGAAGAAGGGTGACAGGAGCAGTGGCTGTATGGCAAAAAGAACAACTCTGAGGAGCATCATTCATATTTTGAGCACTAATATTACAGATTAAACATAAAATCCTCATAGTTGATAGCTCCATCTGAAACAGCCTGTGGGCAGAATATCTGTTTGCCAAAATGTACTGATGGTCATGCCACAGCACTCAACCACATGAAGAACTGGTGGCTTTGCAAGATCATGTCCTTTGGAGAACTAGGCTCAGGCATTTCTATGTCAGATCAACTGAGGGTTTCCTTTTTTCAAGCTTCTATTAGGTATTATGAATAAAATTCCTTCCACGAGAATAGAAACGAACTTTTGGTTCTTTGATGAATAAAGAACAGGCTTGTTATTTCTTGGCCCATTCTAATTTAGGAGGAGATGTTGTCTAGTACTGATTGGGCTCCATTGAGCTCACTCCACGTCTGCATCTCAGTGGCAAGAGAGGATGGGGAGAGAGAGAGACACTGCAGTGTGATGTATGGCCACCGGAATTAGAGAGATCTGTGTTTGAATCCAGGCTCCATCATGTAGAAGCGCTGTAACCATGGGCAATCTCTGAGGGGCTTGGGGTCTTCATCTACAGCCCTTGCAGGGGTTCATGAGGACTGAGGGAGATAATGCATGTGAGGTGCCTAGTACAGTGTCTGGTGCACAGTGGGAGCTCTATGAGCAGTGACAGAGTCCTACTGTGTGTGTGTGTGT